AACACTGTTTGTAAACTTCACAAGTCCATTTATGGACTTAAACAAGCTCCTAGAGCTTGGTTTGAGCGACTGTGTATGTATTTGGAGTTTGAGGGTTTTGTTTTAACAAAATCTGATTCATCTATTTACGTTTACAAGTTAGACACTAGTGTTATGTACTTGTTGATGTATGTTGATGACATCATTATCACTAGAAATAAATTTGATTAAGTGCAGATTGTCATTAACAAATTGAACAAGCAGTTTTCCTTGAAGGATCTTGGATCTTTGAGTTATTTTTTGGGAATCAAGGTTTGTTATGAGGTAAGTGATATTGTGTTGAGTCAACACAAATATATTACTAATTTGTTATAGCGCGGTGGTTTTGTTGGAGCCAGGAGTCTTCCTACACCAATGGTTTCGAGTTGTAAGTTGTCGAGTAAGGAATGATCTCATTTTGAAGATGCATCTTACTACAGAAGCATTGTTGGTGCATTGCAATATGTTGTCATTACTCGTCCTGATGTTTCTTTTGCAGTCAATCGAGTATGTCAGTTCATGCAGGCACCCCTTGATACTCATTTTCAAGCTGTGAAGCGAATTCTGCATTATCAATAGGGTACCATTGATTTTGGTTTACGCTTCTCACCTTCCTCCAAGTTAACGCTGACTGGTTTTGTTAATGCCAACTGGGGGTCGGATGTGGATAATAGGCGTTCTACTTCTGGTTATTGCATTTACTTTTCTGAAAACTTGGTCTCATGGAGTTCTCTCAAACAATAGGTTGTAGCTAGATCCACTGTTGAGGATGAATATCGAAGTGTTGCTTGTGCTACAGCTGACATGAGATGGCTTCAATCTTTACTTTCTGAGATGGATATTGTTCTGCATGGTACACCTACATTATGGTGTGATAATTCGAGTGTTGTTGTTGTATGTGCCAATCCAGTTCTTCATTCAAAATCTAAACATATGGAGTTGGATTTGTTATTTGTTTGAGAGATGGTTACTGCTGGAAGACTGCATGTTCATGAAGTTCCAGCAATTGAGCAGGTTGTTGATATTTTCACAAAATCATTATCTTCTCCTTTGTTTTTAAAGCATAGACTACAGTTGCTAATTGTTCAACTAAAAGATAAGTCGTTGATTCGTGAGTTATGCAATAAAAGCATGATTGAGGATGTTGATGAATGAATATTAAAAGTTTTTGCAAGGTTGTTAAGAAGGGTGAATGTTGATGAATGAAGATTTTGATAAGTTGGTGATAAGTTTTCAAGAGCTATTAAGCAGGGTGAATATTGAAGTATGAAATGCATTGCTATGTTACCTGCTGCGTTGCTACGTTGCTTGTGTTGTGCATGAGTTTGTTAAGCAACTGTTAAGAGTTTGTTACAAGCTTGCTTACGTTGCGTGCTAAGTTGGTAAAAAGAGGCAGTTAGAGTTATTAGTCAGCTTAATATATAAACACCTCTTGTTTAGAGTAAAAGACAGCTTTTGATTTACAATAAAAATGATTCTAAAGTTTTCTTCTCCTCTTTAAAAATGATTCTAAAGTTTTCTTCTCCTCTTTCTTTTGTTTTGATTGCATTATATGATAGTTAAAGCTCTATCTGAACAGGGTGCTGTCCGATGTGCGGCAACGGTGATAAAACCATTTTACACGTGCTCCGTGATTGTCACCTTACCCGCTTACTTTGGACACAGATCGTTCCACAACACCACCATACGGTATTTTTCTCTTCACCATTATTGGACTGGTTAAATTTCAACTTGACTAAAAGTGCAGGATTGGACACCCCGGAGATAATCTGGTGTCAACTGTTTGGAGTAATGATTTGGCGGTTGTGGAAGAACCGAAACTGTTTCGTGTTTAAAGGACATGTCTGGTCGTCCTCGGCAACAATTGTGTCAGCGAAAGCTTGGGAATGAAGGAGAATCGACCCATTCGATAGTCCCGACTTCCTAACCGGCAACTTGGAGTTGCTTGGGAAGCGGATCAACCTGGAATCCTTAAGATCAACGCGGATGGTTCCATGCATCCTGTTACAATGGTGGCAGCAAGCGGTGGCGGAATTCCGAAACGGAAATGGCGACTGGATCATGGGGTATAGCAGGAACATTGGTCACTGTTCAGCTCTACAAGCCGAGACGTGGGAAATTTGGGATGGCTTGGAGATCGCCTGGTCGCTCGGCGCCAGTAATATCCTCATTGATACTGACAGTAAAGAAGTTATTAGAAGATTGGAGAGCCCCTCGTCTTGCTATAAACCGACCTTGCTTCGAAGAATCCGAAACTGCCTTCAACGTCAACGGCGAGTCACGGTCAGACACATCCCGCGCGAAGCAAATACCATGGCTGCTGACATTATGGCAAAGCTGGGGAGGGGTGGTAGCACAGGCCTCCACATGCACACTGTCCCTCCCTCTGAAATCCAAAATATCCTCAATGCTGATCAAATGGCGTTGAGAAGGAGAATTTCCCACTGATTCCAGTGGTTTTCTTTTAACCAAGAAGAGAGAGAGAGAGAGAGAGAGAGATGCATATTGTCCCGTTATGGGATAACAAATGTGTTTGTTTATAATTAATTACATATTGGTGCTTTAAAGGGATGGATGTCATGAAGAGGATTCGATTTTTGGCGTTAAAATAGTGATGAGTTCGAATCAACCACAAACAGAACTTGCAAAATAAAAGACCACTCGCAAGTTTAAAATTTGCTGTTGTATCTACAATGACTTTATAGCATCACAAGGATATGTTGATCAAAGCTATTGCACAACAAATCATCTCTATCGTGGAAACTATGAAAGAGGTAAACCCTGGAGAAAGTTATGTGAAGGTGGAAATATATCTTTTGCCGATGATAGAGATTGAATTTGGATATATTAAGTTGATTATGTATGTGATATAAATATACTTTAATGCTCTTCTCTCTCTCTTTATGTGTAATTTGGATAGATTAAGTTAATCTTATATGTGATATAAATATATTCTATACTTATTTTAAAATTAATCTGATTTAAATATGAGGTTTAAATTTTATTAAATATATACATTTATAAATTAATAACGACCCATTCATTTTTGAACTTCTTAAAATACTTATGATATTTTTTATTTCAGATATAATATTATTTTTATTAAAATTTCAAGTACAAACAACTTAATATGATTATTATTTACATTATAATATTATTTTTTATTATAAATTAAATTTATATGTCAAATAAAAAAATATGTGATATAAATGAATTATTATATGTTATAGGTTTTTTAAAAAATAAATTAAATCGAATTAGGTGATTAAAATAGAACAAAATCTTAGATTTAGTGATTATTTTAAAAGAAAAAATAATTAGATGAAAAAAATAAAACCATAAAAATAATTGAGTGACTATATATGTAACTTACCCATGCTATTTTTAATATAGTTAACTGTTTAGACAAACTATGTAACAATTTAAACTTCTGCAAAAAATATTTTTAAGGAACAATTCTATACAAATGTCATATTTTATGGGACAATGGTATATTTAAGTTTATTTTTTTAACTTTAAATAAGATTGATTTTGTTAGACTTTTCCGGAGTAAAAAGATTAAGACCTAGTTTAATGTAATTTTTGAAATATAATTTTAAGTAAAAAATCTGTTTTAAGTTAAAATCAATGTTAAACGAATAAAAATATTAAAAAATAACACTAAAAATAATGTTTTAAAACCAACCTCAAAAAATTAAGATTTATAATTTTTTTTATTTTTAACTTTACAAACAAATTATAATTTTATTTTTATTAATATAAATTATATTTTATTTTAACAATTTAATATTAACATCTTAAAAATAATTTATTATTTAATAATTTATTTTACTTATTTAAAAATAAAAAAATTTAAATTTTATATTAAATATAATTTATTACTTAATAATTTATTTTAATAACTATTTTAATTTAATTTATATTATTATAATGTAAGTCTATATTTTATATATAATAATATTTATAAATATAAATATAATTTATATTTTTATTTTTATTTTTAATTTATAATATAATATATATAATATACATTTTATTCTAATAAATTCATTTTTTACGATAATATCAAACATATAAATTTTAAATGAGAATACTTTTAAAATTCTTGTGTCTGTACTTTTAAAAATCATTTCTTAAAAGCTTACCAAACTGACTAGACCCGACAAATAAAATAGTTTTGCGGGAGGAATCCGATTCAGATCTAAAAAAGAAACGCAGTCATCTTCAGTTCTTATCTCTACCATACAACATCTCTATCTCTATTCTAAAGATGAAATAATAATTCACCTTCAACATATCTCTACATTACCATCAACTCTACTTTATTCATAATATTTAACTATTATAATAATAATTTTATAAATATAAAATAAAACATATACATTTCTAATAAATATCAAAATAAAAAAAATTAATAAAACATTCATAAATAATTTTACAAAAATATAAATAAAAAAATAAAATTCATAATAATAATAATAATACTAAAAAACATAAGTTAATATTTATACATTTTTATCTTATAATTTAACCTATTTGAATTTAAAAAAAATTACAAAAAATCAAAACAAATTATAAACTAATTAATATATTTATTTATTTAATTTCAATATATTTTTATATATATTAAAAAAAATACAAAATCAAAAAAATTACAAAAAAATTAATATAATTATTTATCTAATTTTAATATGTTTTTATCTATATTATAATTTAATATACTTTAATTTAAAAAAAAAACATATGTAGCGCGATCTACAGTGCCGATATATCTGGCGCAGGGTTGGAGAGAAAATTCTCTCTACTTTGGAGAAATTCTCCAAATGTAGAGAATCATTGGAGGTGCCCTAAAGCGGACACAGCACGTTCCTTCAGTGGCCAACAACTATCAAGTTGGTGCAAAACGTCAAGGAAATTGAATCCCATCTCAAACTAATAACAAAAGCATCTTTCCTTTCAAATTTCTAAACCAAATTGTATGTTTTAATTAAAAAATTCTATGACGGGCAAAAACAATTTACATTTCGGCTACGCTTTGTATTTCGCTTCGCTTGATTTTTTTTAGATTTATGTTCAGGAGTTCTACTCCGCTGACAGAGTTTCCGGCCGCCATAAATAGCCGGAAATATCGGAGGAGCCGTAATAAACATCGGCGTACTCGAACAATCCATCATAAGAAACATGTTCAACATCGTAATTATCAAAGAATCCAGACTCGAAGGAATCGTAGCCCGGGTTCTGCACCTCAAACCCCCACAAATCAACGATTCCAGACGAGTGTGACTCGACTGGCGCCAGATCAGTAACTTCGGACCTTTCTTCACCGCCGGTTGTTGAAGCGGTAGGAGGAGGCAGTCCAAGCTCGTCGTCGGAAGCACCGAGAAGGTAACCGAGATCCGCCTGCGACGCACCGTAATCAGAAGTCAGGTCAACAACCGGCACCGATTCCGTCGAAGTAGACGGCGCAGCAGATATCTCCTCTTCCAAACTCTTCATTACCGATGCAAGGTCTTGATTAACGGGTAAAGATTCCGACTCGTCAAGAAAATCTAAGAAATCATCCCTGAGTCTCTTCATCTCGGGCGAATCCAGATCCCACTCGTTCAAGTCATCTCTAACTCGCTTCTTACTGATACACTCATCCATGAAAACGAGCAAACAAAAATGAAAAATCACTGAACGGCGAAGAACTTCAGGTTAAACGATTATTCTCTCTGTATCGTAAAGAACTTTTGGAAATACACAAACGCGAATGAACAAGTTTATCGTGGAGAGAGAGAGTCGGGGGGCAGGAGTTTATATAATGAGACCAGAGAGAGAGAAAGACGTTGGAGACTCAGGCGCGTGGGGAAGCAAGATCTTAGGTCATCACGGGGCTCTTGCTTTCTTTTTTTTCCTTAATTAAAAAAGTGGGCGTCCCGAGACAAGTTTCCGGTTTAGATTTTATTAAAAGGATTTGAAGTCCGTGCTTCAGGTCCGGCCAGAATGGGACCCACAATCCTAGTCAATCACGGCCCTTTGAGACTTTTCTTTTTTGTTTTAGATTAGCTTTTGCGTCCCGTTGGCGTGGCTCGGCTTCTGGAATTTGTGGTTTCGGTTGGAAAGGGTATTTTAGTCAACTTGTTTAAAAATTGGTTTTTCGTTCAAGATATTTTCCGGGGAAAAAACAAGTCCATATTTTATTGAATCTCTAATTTATTTCTATACGATACTTAATTTTTCTAAAGTACTTTTTTTAATTAAAATTTTCTAAATTACTTTAATTGAACGTAATTAACTATGTTTGAGTTTGTTTAAACCCATTTTTTTAAACGCTGATCTTATTAAGATTCAATTATGTGTTCTCTAATTTAGTTTTGTTTTGTCAACAAACAAATAAAACACACGTCTTTTCTGGAAACAATATTTTCACTGAAAGTGGATGCAACTGGTTTAGACTCTTCTTGTTATTTGAATTTTTATTTTTAAAATGTTTGTGAAGAGGTTCGAGATAATGACACATGTAAAAATCTAAAAATAAGAGGTTCGAGGTAATAAGAAAATAAACATTTCTTTGATACGCATATCATATTAACTTATAAAAAAAACTTAACATAAAAAAATCTTTGGGATAAAACATACGTTACGAAGAAAAAAGTACAATGTACTCCCTTTCATTATAATATCACATAAGATCTTCAAGTATTTACAATTCAATCTTGAATATTCAGAATTTGAAATAGATGATACATTGGTGATTAAATCTTTCAAATTATCATTTAAACGAACTCATTATTGTTCTTTTAAAAATCATTCGGGAAAAAACTTTAGGGAAATATGTTCCTTTTATATATAGTATTTCAATTGAGTTATACATTATAATGCAGTATCTTCCTATAAGATATTTGGTATATTATCATTTTGAAATAAATCACATTTCTTTTAAATGTGTTGGGTCAATAATTTTAACCAAACACATCTTGGTTTGCATTGTGCATAACAATTATTTCACATGAATTATATATACATCAAATAATATTTGAAGATCTAAATATAATATCACTTAAATAATAATTTTAAATCCATTAAGATACGGTGCTTCTAAACCAGCTAAGATATAATGATTATAGACCAACTAAGATTCGATAATTTCAAATCCAAATTTTTTTTCTCTTCTTTAAAGGAAAAATATTTTTATTTACATTTTGACAATCTTACCCTCACTAGGATAATAGATATATTTAACTCATATTGAACCGTGTTAAATTCCTTTTCATATATGTCTATGAATAGAACAAATTCATATTCAAGTATCTATATGTCGAAATAAAACTTGATTTAAGATTTTTTATCTCAAATATTATTGGTTATATCCTAGGTGTCTTTAGAAGTATCCATCTCCAATATATGATCATCTTATAATACTTCTCATTTACGATAATTTTGACCATTTAAACAAATTCAACTATCATGTTTCACAAATGATTTACATTTATTTGCTCTAGTATGTTATCATCTTGGAATTTTGAGTCAAATTTAGAGATTTTCAATTTATATATGAGACTTGATTACTCTCATTAGGTTAGTAGATAGTTTTTTACAGTTGGCTTGTAATAGATTATCTTATGAACTTATTTTTCACTTCATTTAGGGGTGTGTATTATCAGATATTATCCGATCTGAAACTTCGGATATCTGAAAATTTAGATCACAAAAATTACGATTTGTATCTGATCCAAAAAATTAGATATCCGAATTTTTTTATATCCGAAATATCATATCGGATATTCGAATATCCTAATCTAAATACAAAACTTTAATTTTTTAAAAAATAAAATTTAATATTTTGTGACTTTATACAACATATTTTGTACCTATATTATATATTATTAATACATAATTTATCAAACCTAAAAATTTGTAGGAAAAAAATCTTAGGGACGAATAAAATTATATATATTGAATTTTAGAATTTGTATTAGAAATATATTTTAAAGTTTATCTTAGAAATATATTATAAAAATATATGCTTATGTGATTAGCACTTGGCAGAATAAAACGTGAAAACAAAACTAAAATTGTTTTTTTTTTGGGGGGGGGGGGGAGCGGATCAAAGCTGCACGGTAAGGTTGATATTTCAGGCTAGGTGTGGGCTGGGTAAGATCACTGGGCCTAGATAAAAAAGTTCAAAGGCCCAAAAGTTTTAAATTTTTCAAATAATTCGAAATTAGAATTTATCCGATCATAATATCTGAAAAAAAAATAGATATCCGGCCCGAACTATCCGAAAATCAAAAAATGGATCAGATATCCAAATTTGAGGATCGGGTCAACTGATCAACGAATCGGATAGATCGAATCAAATTTTTTAAACAAATAATCACGAATAATTTTCAAACAGTTAGACTCAATTATCACCTTTTTCATATCATAAATTTTCTAATCACAAAAATATTTCTAATAGATCAAACATCCAAAAATAAAACTCCTAAAATCATTAACAAAATACTATTTAAATTAAGATAAATTAAATCCTCTAATCGGGTGACAACACGTGTCTTGATATTTGACATTAGTGACACGTGGCACGATCTAATTCGAAGATTAAATTTATTTTAATTTATTAAAATTAAGACTAAATTGATAGAATATATAAGTAACGACGACCAAAATAAGTATTTATAATAATTATATTAACTGTCACATCAGTAATTCCGTTAAATGTTAACGTCAGGTGGCCTCAATGCGCTTAAATAGTTGGGTGACATAATTGACAAAAATTCAAAAATGATTATCAAAATGGAAATGGGCTATAGTTAGGTGATCACTCGTATAGTTTACTATAATGTAATTAATATTTTATTTTAAATAATTTACCTTTAAATTTTTAACTAATATATAATTATACGTTGAGTCATTTAGAATTTTAAACTTTTATAGAATTAAATTAATGGTGTTCATCGTTAATTGTACTCAATGGTACTAGTCGACCATAACAAACTCATCCCAAAATAAATGATATTTATCCGGTGAATTATTCTTTCTCTCGATGTTAAAAAATTATTTAATAAGAATAAAAGATAATAGATATTTTATTTCATTTGATATTTAATTAATATCTAAGATGAACACCATTAATTTAATTTATAAAAATTTAAAATTTCAAGTACTCAATGTAAAATTATAAACTAGTTAAAAATTTAAAGGTAAATTATTTAAAATAAAGGGTGAACTATACAATTAACAACCTAACTATTACTCCCTTTCATTTCGACCATAATTTTAAAATTTTATCAATCAGATCATTCAATTATTTAAATACATTTAATTAAGTTACTTATCGTTAATATTTAACAGAGAAGCTGATGTGACAGTTAAAATATTTGATATAATTACACATTTAGAATTGTTACATATATATTCTATCAATTTAGTCCTAATTTTAATAAATTAAAATAAATTTATCCCTCAAATCAAATGGTGCAATGTATAATGACATGTGTCATTATATTAAACATATTAAAAATTTTAATTTATTAAAATTAGAACCAAATTGATAGAATATATAAGTAATAGTGACCAAATATGTAATTATATTAAATATTTTAACTGCCACATCAGCTTTTCCATTAAATATTAACGGTAAATGGTTTAATTGAATGTATTTAAATAGTTGAGTGACCTGATTAATAAAATTCCAAAAAATGATGATCAAAATGAAAAGGAGTAATAATTTGGTGTTCATTGATATAGTTTACCCTTTATTTTAAATAATTTATCTTTACTAATTTATAATTATACAATTTAAAATTATAAATTGAGTTCTTTAAAATTTTAAATTTTATAAATTAAATTAATAATATTTTCGATTCTCGTCAAACAATATAAAATTTTCCAACTTCGATTTACAAAAATTGCATAAAAAAATTGTGCGGTTAAAAATAAATTGAAAATTTATCACAATCATTTTCTATTTCCTTTAACAAGCAAACAAAGATTGAAACCACACCTAACTCCTTCAAGTTTCCAAGAAACAATCACAGAAAGATTGGTGAAACCTAATAGTCCACTTCGATAAATTTTGCACTTATAAAACACGTGCAAACAATATCAACACTTAAAATCGAAAAACTGTTGGGAAATAGGATAAGCAACGCTGGAAATAAACGAACAGTAAAAAAAATAAAGAAAACAAAATTTAACGAGGTTCGATAAGGTGCTTACGTCATCGGGAACTATGAGCGGTTGTTTTCTTATTATTAGTAATAATAATAATAATTAGGTTACAATTACATAATATAAAAATAATCCCAATACAATTACCAAAATAACCCTGGTACAAAAATTGGGTTACAATTATGTTCGTTTCGCTCAACTTCACTCTAGCATCTATCCTCCAACTGGTATATGAGTCATATCTAACAAAAACACTCTATTATTTAATAATAAATGTTTATACTTTTATCTCGTTGTATGTTTTCTTTTATTAAAAATTTGATTTTTTTCATTCGTATATTGTTTATCTCTTTTCTTTTTCGTTTTTATTGATCGACAATCGACATCAATTTTAATGTTGATTGTCGGTTGTCGGTATTCTTTATTGTATTTTTCTTTTCTTATATCATATATCTATTTTTTTTTAATTTTTAATAAGTTTACATGTATAACACATTTTCATCTATCTTTATGACACATTTTCTTTAATCTTTTG